CGGTATACAAATAGGAAAATACTAAGAAAAAAACTAAAGAAATAGAATAAACCCCAATTATCATGCCCACACCCATACAAAAGACCCCTGGGTCTAAATATAGGTTTTAGAATTGGTGGATAGACCCGGATCTTTTATATGACACTTTACGGTAATTGTCAGCGTTACGTATTAATGCTAAAATTCCCAAATTTTAAACTTATTACGCAGAATTTTTTTTTAATTATCCCCTGGCCAACCTCATCCACATGACACTTTTCATGTGCTTATTTTCTACTGATATTTATTTTAGAGAATTGTTTGATGTTATTCTAATTAATAAAAATGCAAGTTTCGAAAGATTTTCTACCATGCTTCGCTAAAAAGAAGGGTTTTTAGATATGGATGGCAGGGGACTGTTACAAATTTACTGGTAGCTTCATAGAGTTACTATATAAAGTAATGATTTTAAAATTAAAAAAGTCAAGTTTGTCATTGAGCATGTAGCGTGTAAAAACAATTTGCTTTAATTTGTTTGTGCTACGCCTAATCATGTATCACATGTAGCCATTAAAAAAAACGGTAGTTACGTACGTACGTACGTACTTAAATTCATTGCATGCTATACTAATTATTTTATACAGTTATCTTTTTATTTCTTTTTTTTTATTAGCTTGTAATAGACAATTTTTACCTAAGAATAAGAATGTATACTCTAGACAATGATTTTAATCTTGAAACATAAAAGTCAAATAATAGTTATGAGAACAACGAAAAAGAAATATTTAAGAAAAAAAAACATTTCGAGAATAACGATAACAGTATCGTATAAGCAGTATATAGTTCAGCCACAATCTAGACTCATCGCTATGCACCAATGAAATCTTATAGGTCGATCATCTACGTTACCGATTGTTAATTGCAGTGATTTGCATTTAATGATAACGATCAATCCTTTTTTGAAATGCATGAAATGCAGGTTAAAACTAAAATTAGTTAATTTTGTTAATCTTAGCTAATTTTCTTTAAAATCGTTAAAGAGACGATCTACTGCCTTCAGAGTAAATGTCGTATAGATCAATTAGTATGGCGTAATAAACTCAAACATCGGGTTGTCATCAATCATTACGATGAGCATGAAACATTTTCTTTCGTGACTCACCGATAGACTGTAAATTTATCAAATAATCAGATTTAACTAAACGGATAATCTATAGATAAACCAAATATGTAAATCAAACTTTTACTTTGTCCATTTTTAGGTTTGGCGCATATATTAGAATCAAAATACTACAAAAACAATAACATTTTACGTTATTACATCAACATACGTACGTACGTACGTACAGTACATACGTACGTATCAGGTATGTACTTATGTATTACAATGGGCTGCGACAATATTCGTTTATAGCCCTTCACTTAAATAAATAAATAAATAGATATATCTGTATATTTATAATATATATATATATATATCTATCGATATCTCGAAAATTTTCTGGTCTTATATCGCTTGCGATTTTTTTTAACAAAATTTATTCACTTAATCAATATGTCAAGTAGCGGGTCATCAGGCAAAGAGTCAACAAATCCAATAAATATTCCCGAAAATACAACTCGTCGGAGACGGGGATCAGGAAACATTACTAGTTTGGGCCATTCTCTTGCTGAAACTTGGCAATCATGGACAGGAAACTATAGCCTTACTGCTAGGTAGAGGAATAGCTAATCCTCACCATTCTACAAATTAACGGCTTAACTTGCTCACAAATACCATAAAATGAATTTTTTCCATAGCACCTACATGTCCTGCAATATGGTGGTGCCAACATCTTTTGTTGGTGAGAACCCTGAGCAAGGTGCTACGGGCTCACAATACTCATCCATATTATCTAATCAATACTATTCTCCGCAACCTTACCAATCTGGTTCACATCTTCCTGGTTCTCAATATGAATCGAATTTGATGTCGATCAGTGAAAGTTTACATGAACAAGGTGATCTCCTGGGGTCGTCGTATGCAAGTAATATATTGAGGCAATCGGCCGTGGATTCTAGCAGAAAAAGACCAATAATAATCGCTGATGCTGAACGCACACCTCTTGTAAGAAGGTACGTACATTGCGTTTTATATTCTACTATGGTGATTTTAGAAAATTTGTGATTTATCGTTATTTATCGTTATACGTGTCTATCAACAGAACCTCAATTAAACCTGTGATATCTGTACATGAAATTCCCATAACTGTTGGATCGAATTTCAGGCAATCCGTCTTTAATTCCTGCAATATCTTAATAGGTAATTATTG